GTCGCGGCTTTCAGGAATTTAATAAATCTTATTTTATTACTATTATTATTACATATTATTTATAACACTGATGATTAATCGACCATGAACAAGTCTTTTCAAAAACAAAAGCAATCAATCAATTGCAAATATCGATCTAAATTTAATTTAGATATGGTTAGTTTAAACCAATTTAATTAGTGGAGCTAATCTAAATGGTTCTATTCAAGTTTACTACTGTTTGCCTACCCATCATTATATTGATAATAAAGTAATCTTTTAAATATACCACATTCATAAAAAGTGTGAACTTTTCAAATATTTTCTCGGTTATGAATAATAATGAAATTAATTTATTATAATTAAAAACACCATGGATTGACTCGTATTTTTTTATAAAATCAAGAGCAGTTCTCATTCCGTTTAATTCAAGATGATATTTTAAACGTCAAACATTGTACATATTATATAGGGATTTTCTTAAAATAATAACTAAATTTACATGAACATTGTTATCAATTAATTTCAACGCAACATGTTTTGTACGCACCTCCACTTAAAAATCTTTGAACGTTGATCATCAATAGAGGTGTGTGCGCTTTTTTCGACATTATAAATAATCAATTACTGTAAATATATATGGATGGAGAATTTTAGTTTTAATAAAGCTCAAAGGACATTGCGACTTTTAACAATCACATCAGAAACACTTATCAGTTCATATAAATTAATACTTTTTCTATAAAACAGTATCGGCACCGTTAAGAAAAAGTGCACGCCTGTATGAACTTGTATATTTTCTTTAAATAGTAAATATGTATTTTTATGATATTAAAAGCCGATAACGATACCCAAATACATAATACAATGAAATTTTGAAAATTATCTCATACTAAAATAGAGAACTCTGACAACAGGGATGTGTTGTACTATATGTATATGAGAAAATGAAGGATATACAATTTAACGTATAGAATAAGTTTTAGTACATAAAAGGCAAATTCGTTACATGATAACATCAGTCTGTCAAAATAAATTAAATAATGCAAAATTTTAAATTAAATAGTTTAATGAAACCAATAATACATACTAGAAAGTTAAAATGTATAACCTAGTACAACTTTGTAAAGATATTCACCATATAGGAGCATTGGTTTGGGGAAATTTAAAAAATTAAGATTTTGACAGGTAGATTTATCGTAGAACAAGAAAGAGTTGCACTTATAAATTAAATCCATGCAATAAACTAAGATTACAATTAAAGTTCATCATACCTTTAGTCTATATTTATGAGTGGAATTAAAATTAAAGTTCTTTAGATAACTTCATATAGCGATTTTCGAAATGTCAAACTCATAACTCAACATTGTGTAAAATTTATTGTGTAAATGATATTTACGAGATGTAAAATGACCAGTGTTGTGTTAAAAAGACCTTCTATTCATATAAGACTGTATTTAAATCCCAATTTACATTCCAATTAGTGTAAAAAAATTACTAGTTGTCAAGGAACGATCACCCTGAAACATTTTAGTCATTAGTCAATTCATACAAGACAAAACTGTTCAAAATAGTGAAATTAACTTAATATCAATGTTGTACAACAAGACTAGTGGATAGAATTAAGCTAAATAGCATAATTTGCTTAAATTTCAATAAATTAGCAAAATTTTGTAGAAACTTTAAATAAAAATAAACGTAATATAAAGATTTGGGTATGTAAATTTACAGAAAATTATGTAGAATCCGAATATATCAGTGTCATGCTGCAAAAAACATACATAAAGGCATAATTCAAGTGTAAAATTTCATAAGGCTTCAAACTAATGTTGCTATAACGACAACCTCATTTGTTATCAATTTATAAAAACTGTTACAGGGCTTCTAGTAGCCAGTCTTTCATAATTTGTCGAACCATAAACATCGTTCATTCACTCCTAAAATAAACAAAAGCCAGTCAGAATTAAATAAATAAATGTATACGTAGTTACCAATTTTGAAACTCATCAACACAAGTGGAATTTTGACAACTGTCAAAAGTGAAAGCTGTAAAAAATTTCTCAACAGTCCAAATATTCACTGAGATTGATATAATGGGAATAAGTGCCATTTAGACAAAACTGCCAGGTATTAATAAGAATATGGAATCTTATTTTTATTGCAACGTTTCGCAAACAGCAGCAGCCGAATATTGATTTCGTGCAATTGTTTTCTTTATTTTCTTTCTTCTCTCTTAGGTCATATAAATTACTGGACCGTTCTTTGATGATCTTTTGTTTCAGAATCTTCAATTGCAAGAATTACATGAGTGTTAGATCAGGACGTCTTACTGATCATAAAAATGTACTTTTATGAGAAAAACTTACAATTAGTTTAAAGAATGTCCTTAGTCTAGGACAGGATGATGTTATAACAAAACATCTTTTATAGTACATTTTTTTCTTAGTAAAAATATAAGGGTTTGTTTAGTAAATGTTATAGTGGAATAGCATAAATATGCAGTGGTTCCATAGACTTATAAAAGTTTATACTGTAAATTGTACCTAGGTAGGAAATATTGCAGTTCTCACTCTCTCACGTTCTGACAAAAATTTGTTTGTACCAAATTTTCACGGTCAATTTCAATATATTATTTTTTGATAAAGAGATGGACAAAACTTGATGTAAAGAAATCATCTTCGACGCACTGCATCTAAAAAAAATCTTTGTGTAGAGTTGGGTTAGAAAAAAATTTCCGTATAATGCATCACACATCTGAAAATAGATGCCACAAACTACATTTAAGAACTCCTAAAAACTTTGATAGCTCTCATATACAGCGTCTGCCTTAAAACATCGGCTCGTGTGTTATCTTTGTCAGTATTGACCTTGCGGTTCTATTTCTGAAACATTAACAGCCCGTTTTAATTATAGTTTTTATGTTCTGATTTAGGCTGCGGAATACAAAATATCAAATCAAAAATTTCATTGCACCCCATCGTGTTAGGGTTTATACCTATTACTGACAAATATGAAGTATTGGCTGGCTTTTGAGGTGACATTAGTCTCCAGTGTTTATAATTAGTTGTACGTTGTATCTTTTTTATTATTGTTGTTTGAACCTGTCTTATTTTCGTTCGTATTGTTAATATTGACATAAAATACTCATCTTGATGTTACTGTAGGATACCGTTTTATTTTATTTATTCTTTTTACTAGATGTGTTGTTAATTTGGAATGGAATTATTTTTCAGCTCACAATTTTGTACTAAGCTTATTGCAGAATAGAGAAAACAAAGTTCATAATATCCGTAAAATATACACGGAGGGAAATCTTTTATATTTTACATTTTAGGAAAAAAATTGACAATTTGGGAAACTGGGATTTTTGGGGCCCATGGGATTTTCCATAGGCATATTCCCAACAATGTTACGTAGCAACAGTGACAAAATATATCAAAACCCTGAAATGTCTCGCAAAGTATAAGAAATAGATTCTAACATACTTTAACAAAATCGCAAAATAAATTAAATTTGCATCTGTCTGTCAGTTTTAACATAGGATTCCACTAAAAAAAAATCAAGTTGCCTATGATCCAAAACTTGGATATTCTAATGTCTATAATTATTCTATTTGAAATGGATGAGATGGAGATTTTAATGCTTGAAAGAGTGTTATTTTAAAAAAAAAAGTAGGTAACGCCCAGAAGAAACACGATACGATGTATAATGGAAAATAAATTTAAAATGTGAATGAATTGATGCGATGCAACTTTTATTTGAAATACTTTTTTGTATTATTAATATTACCAGAGTTATGGAAGAAACCGTCTTAAATAGGACGTCCTGTAGCAGAAATGTAGTGGATTGGTTTATTACTACTATTTAAAATTCAAGCATCCTACAATTATTATTACAATTTTTGCAAAAATTATGTTATTACGAGAACCACAAACCAACCGATAACTAATGTAATTCTGAAGTAATGGATATATTCTTTAGATGAGTAGAATTACTTATTCTATTGCCGAAAAGATTTTTTTTAACTTTGTTAGAAACTGCTATCCGGCGTTATTCATTTATCAATTTTACATTTTTTATAAGAATTTTTACACTTAGTGTTTCCAAATATAAGTTATACAAACAATCCTACTTTAGCACACTCCTTCCATCAGTTTTGTCCTAATCTAAATAAAGATATCGTATGCAATTATATAACACTCTGTATTAATCACACCTGTTCCAAGTTTAGAAATTCAGAAGCATTTCTTTAGATTTCGTTTGCACTAAATTAGAAATTATGTATTTTCTACCACATAGTCTCTTTACCCAGTTTCACCTACGTAGATTTTTTTATTGTAGCAGCCATTAACCTAAAATCTAAAGTGCGGCAATTCATAACTATACTGTTATTGCATTCATAATGAGATGCAAATCATAAAAGGAAATTTTATTAGGTAATAATAAATGCATACACATGTCAATTTAATGGAAAACGTTTATTATTGCTATCTCCTAATTTCTTTAGAGTAAAACATTTGATAATAATCGATACACTTTGACAAGCATTTTTGTTCACAATTTAATGCAATACACATGGTGCAACACAGTGGCGAGGCGTATCAAAGGTGAAGGGGCGTTTTCCTCGTCTAAATTTAAAATTAAAATAATTTCTTATGCATTGATTTAGTTCTTGAAACCCAAATAAAATTTGTTTTAAAAAAATGATAAACATGTTCTGTCAATGACGTGCGCTGATTTAGGATTTAGGAGGAAAATATACCCAGCATATGCGTCACTGGTTTGATTTGGGTCGAGGATATTTTGAGATATACGTAACTTTTCTTGAACTCCTTGTATCTCAAGGGAGTATCAAGGGACAAAGAAAATATTCTTAAATTGAACAAACAAAACACGTTTTCATCTTGGATGTGCTGTATGTAGTGCATCCTGAGTTATAATCCCTGCTTGAATATTATGCGACTATTTTTTAGCCTAAAATTGATGTTTTAGTATATTAATGTTTGTTATTTTCTTTTCAGTATGGAAAACAGCTGCGAGAGAATTACAGAGCATTTAGGAACAAACAGGCAGAAACCATCAATCCAAAAGACTATAACAGCTACTCAGTACCTAATGTAAGCGTAAGTTTTCAGTTACATTAATCTATAAATGTTTGTATACGTTCGTCATCGTTTCCTTAACGTTGTGTTTTGCAATTATCACCGTAGTTGATTTACGTAAGTGTATAATTAAAACAAGACTTTTGGACAGACATTGTCGTTATTTTTTAAATTAAATTACTTTAAACTTAAAATAGACAAACTTATTATACAATTAGCAGATTAATTTTGAATGATATTTTAATAAAATCTAAATAAATATTCCGACTGATAAACTGACATTTAAAAAAAATATAAAATAATGGTTTGGAAGTGAAAAAGTTACAGTTTTAATTAATTGACCCCATATTTTGAATCACTAATTTTTGAAAAACCACTGGAAAAATAGTATGGCTTCAAAACTAGACTCACAATTGATACATGTACTAAAAAACCTGACAAAGTACAATTTCATCGGACATTTTATTTTTGTCACTGTACAAATACTGTAAACAATACCAATTCCTTTCATAATTCTAACACCTGATAATTTACAAACAGTGCCCTGCATACATTGTTCAGGAATATTACGACAATTATTATTACACAGGGTGATTCAGAACTTATCCAAAGAAAAAAAAATCAGGATGTACAAGGGACTCTTACAAATACAATTTAATAATAATACAGAAAATATCAAAAAGGGCAGTTCGAAAATGATGTAAAAATACACTTCTGCACGGCACTGGAAACTGGTCCACTGTAAAACCTGACCTGGCACATTGCGTCCGTTAAACCGGCTACACACGGTCCGGCAGGCCTGTCAGTTCGAACTGAATTGGCCGCCTGAAGGCCGGTCGCCTGAACTTGTATATATTCCGGTCGATCTGTCAGTTAAGACTGTTCAGGCGGCCGGAGAAAAATCAAAAATATGTTCGTTCATCCAGCCGGCCTGACGTACTCAAAGGCAAGTCTGAACGTGTGTATGTCACGGTCGCCTGTCGGGTCTTCGGGCTATCAGTTCGGACAGTTTAATACTAGTGGTACGCCATGGCGCGCGAAATAGAAAACAGGTTCGGAAGAATTCATCGCGATTTATCACAATGAGTCATGTCTGTGGCAAGTGAAATAGAAAAACTATCACGACTCTGGCAATAAGGAAGCGGCGTATTTGAAATTGGTAGAAAAATGGAAGGAAATCGATCCTTCTTGTATGAAGTCTACTGTTCTCAAAAAAATTAATAACCCGGGAAGTAGTTTTCGTAAGGAAGCAAAAAAAAGTGAAAGATTCAATGAGAACGGGATCAGGTGCCGATGAAGTCTACCATCCCAAACCAAAGTTTGGGATGGTAGAAATATTTCATATTCGCCTGATCGTTTGGGCAGTCGTCAGTCCATCAGGCAACCTGCCTTTAGGCGGCCTATTCAGTTCGAACTGACAAGCCTGCTGGACCGTGTGTAGCCGGCTTTACTGCGGCAGTTATAAAAACGGACAAAAACTTGAAAGAATTTCGCATGGAAAGGAATAAATTTCTATTTATTCCTTATAAAATTCTTTTTATAGTACCTATTTTATATCAGCAAATTCAACTGATTTTGCCGCTGTTGTTATTATTAATTAATAAAATTAATTTGTTTTAAATAATAAAATAATTTGGCATACCTGATGTTACAACTGTTCAAAATTCTGTCTACCGACGTGTAAACACATTTAGGTCCGTTTTACTCAGTTTCTACGAACTAACACAAATACTGTCTTGTTTCACCATTACACAAATGCTTCACCATAATACGGATGTTTTCTTGCTTGACCATAAATTAAAACGATATCCATCAACTCCGAGTTGCTATACACGAAAGCCATATTTGATACAAACTACTAAAAAACTACTGTAAACACTATGGCAACGACGACTGTAAAATCTGATTTCAGTATTCGGAGTCGCTGAGGCCATGCGGCTCTCCATGCGTATTACGAATGACGCAAGAGACTACAGTTGTCCAGTTAATGGTTGAAGGTAGTACAACTTCAATAATTTTTTTTCTCGGAATCTATAAGGATTTCACAAAATTTTTTTTACGATGTTGACTCCATTTCTCATGCCGCATCTGTTCCCAAATTTTTTTGGATAAGTTGTGAATCACCCTGTATTGTAATACGATTTAAAAATTCAAAACAATAAAATGAAACTGATTAAGTAAGAAACGCTAAAGACATTTCTGGGAATTTATTTTAATTTAAATTAACATGCATAATGTTACAAAAGGTAGTTTACAGACCGACACAGATAAGTTTGCGTCTGAGATAACTCCGCCCACAAATGCGCATTGAACAAAGCAAGGGTTCCAGAAGTATATTTGTAAATCTACGTTCGAGTAAATAGAATTGAGTACGCAGGGTTGTATTGAAAGTTTCCAAAACGACGTCACAATGAATTTTCTTTCGGAAGTGACAAAAAGTCAATAGAGCAGTCAAATGTGATACGTTATATGCAGCGTGAATCTGATGCAAATCAGCCAGTCTCTAGCCTTGACCACCGGTGTAGTCTGAAGGGTCCTTATGGCCTGTGTCAAGTGTTTTATAAATGGCACCAACAATTCAACAAGTATTAAATTTAATTTTATTATTTAATTATTATATTAATCTTAATTAAGTAAATAAGATTTTAAATTAATTATCTTGACCCTTATGAAATAATTTCGTAAACAGAATAAAATCGTGTTAGATGAAAATCTCGAAAATGATATATTGTATAGGTACTCATTAAAAAATATTTAAACAGTGAGTAAGGTTTGCTTTAGTCATTATCGGTCAATAACTTATTAGATAAAAAACAATAGACAACAGTAAACCTTCATTATGTATATTTATCGTCTTGGCAATGATTTTTGATATTTATTTATCAAACAATGGAGTCTTTGCAAATCCTACTAAGAGCGAAGAGAGGCGGTATTAAATCTCCATTATGTATATTTATCGGTTTGGCAGAGGCCTTTGATATCTAACTCGTTAATATTCTGTCTAATTTTGAATTTATATAACAAGATATAAACTTATTAGCACGTAGATAACTCCAAAAATAAACAAGCTTTTGAAGTAGTTCAACTTATACGTAACATGAGATAAATCCAGAGTCGCATTTGTAATTTCGGAGGCACTAAAAGACCCAACATTATTATAATGTTCCTAAAGAATAAGTTTTGTATTAAGTTCAAAGTTAGAAGTATCTAAGGATTATATTATTCATTATTAAGATTAATTAATTATTTCCTTACTAACTAGTTCGGATGTAACGATTATTTTTCTAAAATTACCAAAACATTTCAGTCAAAAATTACTGGACCCCACGAATTTTGTTTGGGTTGTCTACCACATTCTTTAGTGATTATTCTCTCAATCTAAAAACAAATTTTATGTGTATTTTTTATTTATAAATTGTCACATAAAATATATACTTTTTCGTAATAAGATAAGAATAAGGCTAATAGGATCCACAGAAATAAATATTTAAAATATTAAGTTGTCTTTATAAATCCAGAGAATAAATATTTGTAAAATAAAAAGTTTTAATTTGAAGTCCTAAGCCTAAAAAAGTATAATTGAACCTCCGAATATCCTCAAAACGCTTTAAGTTTCCCGAATCTGAATACGTTACATCAGCATCTTAAGTGCTGTTTCTTTTATACAGTTACATTACAAAATCACATTAAGTTTGTAATTAAGCACTTTTTCTGTAATTCATTAAAAATTCGTGAAATCAATATACATAGCCTTCATAAATGTTTACAAGCCGCTGAGTTTAGTCTATCCAACATTACATGACTGGTACTGTCAACTAAAAATCCCTAATGATTTGTTTACAATGAACAATGACAAACCGTTGCGTCTACGCTCGAGATAATGCGATCGCTGATTAGTTGAATAAAATCTCATGAAAAATTACACCAATCAATCGCCAGCCGATACAACAGAATGTTGTGATTTAATGTAATCTTGATCTTACTGTTTTAATAATTTTTAATTTTACCGAAATTTTATTGCCAACATGAAGGAAATAAATTTACTGTTCCGAACAAGATTACTGGTCACGTGGCTTGTAATCATTTATGAAGGCTCTGTATTTACGATACGAATGTATTTGTAATTTCACTAAGAAACAGATAAATTACTTTTTATTATTATTTAAAAAGTAATGAATTAATAAATACACAATATTATAATGTAATATGTGAATTATTAAGTTCTAATATTTCTACTTAAAATATTTTTACTATACAGGCTGTTACAAATTTGCTTCAAACTACAGAGATCTAGGAAACGGTAAGAGATACGAAGTAGCTTAAATGGGGGGCAAATGCTTTGCATAAGAAGGTGACCAACATTATGCCTCTAAAAAATCAAAGCTGACATGACTAGTTTTCTAAATATTTGAAAAAAAATCGAAATTTTGGATATCCGTTTCTGTTTCATTTCAGCCTTGTTTGAGGTGATATTGAACACTTTCTCGTGGCAACTTTTTGCCCTCTGTCGAATGGTATAATCAATTTTTATATTAATATTTTTAAATAACTAGGTGGATTTCACAGGATATAACGGCACTTAGACAGGGTTCGTAGCGGCCGGGAAAACCGGGAATACCGGGAAAAGTCAGGGAGTTCATTATTCTTTATAAAAAACAGGGAATAGTTGGGAAATTTTAAAAAAAGTCATGAGTCAGGGAATTTGATGTTTGCAACTGGAAATTTTGTGAAAGCCGGCCCTGGGTTCTTGAAAGAGAAAACTATTTGTGGTTTTGAAACCTTTATAAGAGGTTCTTAGGGTATAAAAATGATTGTGGAGTCCAGTCGAGAAAAAATTTAATGCATAAACATCAATCAGTATGTAAAATTGAGCTACAAGTGACCTGGATTTTTTTTATAAGTCAGGGGAAACCTGGAAAAGTCAGAGAATTCTTTCTTACTTTTGAACTATGAACCCTTTTAGAGGGTACAATAAGGAGAGGATTCAATATACATAAAAATCTAAAAAAAATAGATTTTGG